GCCGTGCTTCATTTCAATTTGTTACTTTAAAAAAACAGTGCAACTTTAAAATGTTTAACAATTTAAATTATTTCCCAAGCACAGATTCAAAGCAGTATGCTTTTCTTCTAATTTCTTTAAAGATCATACTATTTGAATACTTTACTTTGCTGGAACATTTGACTTTTTTATCATAATGCATTAAGATGTTTTTCTAAGCAAGTATATTATATCAAATATTTAAATTAGCATATATTAATGCAGCAGTATAACTACCAACTTGAAAAAGATTATACAATATAGAAAGTGATACTACAGGCAGCAGTTTCATACATTATTTAATTATGATCCTTGTATTTTATATCTTAATTTCTTATTTTCCCACATGGATTGTTTTCCTCCTTACAAATTCAACACAATTGCAGAGGAAAATGTTTGTTTCTGTTGTGTTCTCATCTTATTATTAAGAAAAAACATTCCCTTTTTCAATTTCCAGTTTGAATTGACTCATATTTCTTAACAAAACTCTTAGTGGATATTGCCTTGGAATATTATTTTTTCTACTTTTCCCCCAGCAGAGAACTGTTCTGACTGTAATTCTTCTCTGCATGGCATAGGGGAATTATTTCAAACATCATGTATCATCAGTACCAAAGCCTGATGCTCAGTGATGTTCATTCCCTGTCTCCGAAATACAGTGCTGCATATTTATGAGATGCAGGAGCGTTCATTTTTTCTAAAACTCTACGGTTTTATGTAACTATACCAATAGTTCCATACAGAGCACATACAAATCAATAAAAATAGGAAATATCTGTAATGAAAATTCAAACAAAATAGTTTTTGAAGGCATGGAATACAAATAAGAATTCTATTGAACCAAGATTTTGAAATATTATAGATTCAAACCTTATCTGTACTTATTTAATACGACTCAGTCTGATACCTTAATTCATGCAGAGCAGTACCTCATTCCAAGAGCACTTCAATTAATATCAATGTTGCAGATTAGGTTTGCACTAGGCTTACTAAAACATATCGTATTAACACATTATTTTTCTGTCCATTCAGGCGGCTAAGAGAAATATGTTTCACCACCATGTTTAAACTTGATTGTTTTGTAGAATAAGCAAGGCCTAAAGAATATTGATTTTAAGTTAATTAGAATTTGATTTAATGGATTTAGGGGACTGCAAATTAATCCTTTAAGCAGGGGTAAGGCTCCTTGCAAGAGCCTTACTTATATAGGACTTTGTAAGCAACATATAAAAGACAAAAAAATAACTGCAGATATCCGTCAGCCTCAAACTTATAGTATGAGTTGGGACCTTTTTTCTTCATGAAACAAGGAAATCTACTTTAAAAACAATGGGGAATTACATAGTTTGAAGGAGGAAAGTATTACTTGATTGAATAAATTGTTTCCTTTTTTGAAAACTAATTTTATATGATCGTCAGACACAGATTGTAAATGATACATCTTTGTTTTAAGGTTTGCGTATTTCAAGAAACTATTTGCAGTATTAATGTTGTTTTTTTAAAAAAAATAATATAGGGACCAGAATACTAAATTTCAGTACCTATACTGTAATTGTGCCACTCTGGTCATAATAAATTCATCTTTCTTGCTAGCTATTGTTGGCTGTAAGAATGAGGTGAGACTTGTGTCCTTTTCAAATCATTTTTGCTAATAAAATTAATCAATATCTCTGATTAAGTCTTTCACAGTCACTTTGCATCCAGTAGCTTATGTATTTGGACAATTTCTGGTTTGACTCTCAGCCTCCTTCTGTGACTTTAAGTAAAGTCACAGAAGAGCAGTAAGCAATACAGATCTGTTTGGCCTCCTTTTGCAAAAAGAAAACATAGTGGAATGCAAAGCAAAAGAACTAAATTAAGCCCAGGAATAGGTGCTGCAAATATTATCCCATTTTATTATATGCAATAACAGTGCAGAGGACTCAGACAATAGTTTATATTGAAAAGCCCCTGAATATACATGATTATCCTCATTTGTTCCAAACTGTGAGCATGAAAATTAGGATTATGGGATTTATAAGATTTTATTTTTTTCTGTAAAACCAGCAAGAACATTTTTATTACATGCTCATTTTTTTTCTTGCCTTAGATAAAATTATATAGTCTCTAAAACATAAAAAGTACTGCTTTATTTTCAGGAATGCAGAGAATCTTCAATAAAGTCACCAGGATAGGAAGTAAACTCTTGCTGTGGCCACCACAGCTCAGCCACAGTCCTGCCCCACACAGCCTCGGGAATCTGCTCAGCAGTTCTCAGCAGCCCCACTCCTCTCTCTTTTGGAGGAGAGTTTTGAATTGGAAGAAAAAATCTTCGTGGCTGTTTGTTAAAGTCTACTTGTTTCATAAATAGAATTGATCCTCAAGAGTTGGTTGGGAAGAAAGTAATCTGATTTATAGTTATTGATCCCTTCCAGCAAAAGTCTTTCTTGTCTTGTAAAGCCAAGCAGGCAAATATCGTGAGAGAAGACGAATTTAATGCCTGGGTTTATTTGATATAAGATATTCTTACACACAAATGTTTGTAGGCTTAAATCCCATTCTAGCTACAGTTTTAAATATTTATCTGAGTGGTGTCAGTGAAAACAATGTGATTTTTAATGTGTATATATATTGGTGAGTGTATAGATGGGTCTTGATCCTGAAAAGAGCTGGGCATGAGATTGGTTCTGTATGATATAAGTGGCTCCTTTGTCATGATGTAACTATATTGTGCAGTAAATGTGTATGCAAATCTTTTCCTGATTAATGCCCAAGTTGCCAGATCCATGAAACATTTCAGGAAAAGCCAATTAAATATACAAATTGAAAAAAAACAGATTTTTTAATGCATCTTTTCTAATATTCTCTGGTTTCAGTAAATTTAGATAATTCTTTAAACAAGACCAATGAAGATAGTTTCTTTTTTAACACAGGCTTTTCCCAACTTTGGATATTGCCCATCAGACCTAAGAAAAGTAAGTATCTCTCAGATATCTGTTTTCCTTTTGATCTGGGTAGGGATTAACAATTGCTGTGAGGAAAAATCATTCCCAGTGGTGCTTCGCTACAGATTGTAGGGTTTAGTGATTGCTTAATGTGTATGGTACTTTCTCCTTTATTTAGTTTCTATTGCAGCATTGCAGAAGAGGAGTGAGTAAGCAGTTCCTAATCGCTTTTCAATGGAGATGCACCTGATAGTCATAAACTTTCAGTGGAGAATTCCTTCAGTCATCTCACAGTCCGTAGTCCATCAGTAGGCGTCTGCCTGTGCCACTGGTCTCTCCATTCAAAGGACCGACTGAGAGACATGATGAAAACAAGTGGCTTTGGTTTGTAAGCTGTTTAATTGGGTGTTCTTTCTAGTAAAGTAAAGCGACAGCAGTCAGCAACTGTAAATGGAGCTGAGACACATATGTGAATAGCTTAGGAAAATAGCAGTTAATCCTGATCAAAAAAAAAAAAGAAAAAAAAATGGGAGCCAGGTTTCTTTATCATCAGGAAGCTACAGATCTGTTAGGTTTTGTTTGACCTCTTATCTGTAAGACTTTGCCTCTTACCGAAATGCCACCTCATGGTGCAGACGGGCTACTGTGCCTGTGCTTTCTCCTCTGGGCATTATGTGTCTCGCAGACTGCAGTGATTTCCCGCTGTTAGAAAGGTGGGGCTGCACTGCTGGGACATGGCACACACCTCTCCAGGCTGCTTTGCCATCTACACACCCAGGCTGGGTCTGCATGCCAGTTTATATGTGCTTTAAAAATGGGAATATACTGTTCAACTTAGTTTGACTGGCTTAGTTGTACTTGGTGACTGGAAGATAGCTGTCACTTTTATATGTGATTGGTATAATTACCTGGCCACCTATAGCAATTTTCTGGCTAGTGCCTTTGTTTCCTTGAAATGCAGAATAAGGAATGAAACCTATTACTGTATTACTGTATGCCACATATGTTATTTTTATTTTTATTTGTGAGAAGCATCAAACCCAATTAAAAAAAAAAAGAAAAAAAAATCCAGAGGACTGGTTTGAAGGGCGGATGCTGAGCAGGGGAAAGCACCGGGTGTGAGGGAGAGCAGAAGCCGCAGGTGCGCTCCAGGTGAGGGCATCTGCCGGCCCCAGGCGAGAAAAAGCTTCCCACCCTGAACTGAAGCCAGCACAAACCAGGAAACAAAAAGAAATATTCAAGCTGTCCACGTCAGAGACTGCTAAGAAAACAGGCCAGGTTTCTTTATCATCAGGAAGCTACAGATCTGTTAGGTTTTGTTTGACCTCTTATCTGTAAGACTTTGCCTCTTACCGAAATGCCACCTCATGGTGCAGACGGGCTACTGTGCCTGTGCTTTCTCCTCTGGGCATTATGTGTCTCGCAGACTGCAGTGATTTCCCGCTGTTAGAAAGGTGGGGCTGCACTGCTGGGACATGGCACACACCTCTCCAGGCTGCTTTGCCATCTACACACCCAGGCTGGGTCTGCATGCCAGTTTATATGTGCTTTAAAAATGGGAATATACTGTTCAACTTAGTTTGACTGGCTTAGTTGTACTTGGTGACTGGAAGATAGCTGTCACTTTTATATGTGATTGGTATAATTACCTGGCCACCTATAGCAATTTTCTGGCTAGTGCCTTTGTTTCCTTGAAATGCAGAATAAGGAATGAAACCTATTACTGTATTACTGTATGCCACATATGTTATTTTTATTTTTATTTGTGAGAAGCATCAAACCCAATTAAAAAAAAAAAGAAAAAAAAATCCAGAGGACTGGTTTGAAGGGCGGATGCTGAGCAGGGGAAAGCACCGGGTGTGAGGGAGAGCAGAAGCCGCAGGTGCGCTCCAGGTGAGGGCATCTGCCGGCCCCAGGCGAGAAAAAGCTTCCCACCCTGAACTGAAGCCAGCACAAACCAGGAAACAAAAAGAAATATTCAAGCTGTCCACGTCAGAGACTGCTAAGAAAACAGGCAGGTCAGCTTGGTTAATCATTACCAAGACAGACTTTAGAGACGTTCACTGCTGCTCATATAACAGGATCCCATCTGAGACCAGCAAACACCCATCCCAAGCAGTAAGTGTTGAGAAGCCTCCCCTGCTTGGATGTTCTGACTTCATTGTTTTGCTGTGGGAGAAGCTGCTCTTCGGTCCCCAGTTGTTCCCGGAGCGCAGCCCAGCTGTTGTGTTGTTTTCCTGTTTTGAAGAGGAAGTGAGAAATTCCCTCCACGTGTGCTGCGGCACTTGGATACTAAGGTTTCGCTCCCGATTCAGGAGCTGCCTGTAATGAGCTCTCCGTGGGGCTTGGAGAGGAGTTTCCAGCTGTGCCAAGAGAATAGGTGGAAGCTGTGATCTCATTTTGCACCAGAGAAGGAGGGGGAGAAGAAATCCTGCAAGAAGCTAAAATGTTGATGGTGCAAAAATTGGCCTAAGGGTACCACCGGTGGGAAAAGCAAAAGAAAAGCAGAAGCAGAGGAAGGCCCAAGGGAACAGGATGGGAAACTTTTGTCGGAAGTACTGTGCCTGTTTGAAGCCCTTCATCCCGTGCTTATTCTTTAGGAAAGAAGGTGAGCAGGATGAGAAAGTCGGCCAAGTCTTTCACAACCCTGCTGTGGTAAGGAATAACTTCCAGGCAGGACAGAATGACAGAGACAATAAGATAAAAGAGAGACCTTTACCTCCGCTGCCAGAACAGCATCTGGTGAATATTTGCAAATTTGTGGCACTCTTTGACTATGAGGCTCGCACTGAGGACGACCTGAGCTTCCGAGCCGGGGATAAGCTTCAAGTGCTGGATGCACCCCATCAGGGCTGGTGGTACGCTAGGCTCCTACTGCCAACGGGGTCAGTTTATTCTCACCACAAGCTCCAGGGCTACGTCCCCGCCAACTACATAGCTGCTGACCAGAGCATCGAAGCTGAGCCGTGAGTAACCCACATAACGTACACCGCAGTCTCTTTTCAGTTAGGATAAGTGGTTTTGGGACAGGATGTTACAGCCTTTTCTCTGTTGAGTAGTACCCTGCCACAGCCAACCTCCAGTGCTCCTGCCAGTGATAGAGCTAGCTGGCGTGGGCAAGGAAAAAGCAGCATGGTCACATGAAAATCAATTACAAAAGGTAGAGTGTTGAGGGTTTTGGTTTTGGTTTAGATCATTTCCCTGTCTGATAAACCCTAATCACCTGTTTAAGAAGCATCTGGGAATATCAGGTTGGTTACCACTGTGATGATTTATTATTTCGATTTGAATAACTGAGCGTGTGTCAGATGCTTCCCAGAAAGTGGAATGACATGACCCTTTCCCCAAACAGCACTCAGTCTAAACAGCTGCAGTTATAAATTAACCAGAGTTTCAGGAAGTTACCCTTAAAACCTGTTACATCTTCTTAAAAATGATGGATGAGTCTTGAACAGGTAAGTTTTTTTTATGGTTTCCTCTATGTCATTTGTTTCTTCTTTGGAAGCAAATCTCTGCTCTCAGGACAAACTTAACTGGAGCAAAGGGCAAAAGGAGAGGATATAGCAACAGAATACAAATGGAATTTGTTAAACTTTCACAGAGTTTTAATTATGCAGACCATGTTTTTCTGCCCTTTCAAAACATGTTTCGTCTTATTTAATATTCTGAACTAAAGAAGAAATCCCATAAAATCAGTTACTTGGATGAGTAAGGTCTGAGTCAGCCTGGGACGCACAGTAACTTCTGTGTGTTGCAGTTAGAGGCAGAGTTTACTGAAATAGGTCTGACTGCAGTTCCAGAGGTATGTTTTGACCAAAATTATCAGTGTGGAAAGAGACAGCAGAAATGGCATTCATCATTAGTCTCAGAATTAATGATGACTTTAGAGGGATGATGTTGCAGCTTTTTAGTTAAATCTTATTTGGACCTGAAACATCATCTCTGATCTGATCTGCGCACTGTACTGCCTAGGGCAAGGAAAACTGGCTTAGATATGATTATGCCAGTCTTTTATCAGCTGTAGAATTTGTGCTAGAGGCATCTTAGGGCAACTGTAAGATTCTCCTCTAACCTGAAGACCTTAATTTCCGGACTCTCAGCAGCTGTTTCTGTTTCTGTATTCAGGCAGACAACCCTTTCAATGGCCATGTTCAAAAGAATTCTTCCAATTGCAGAAATTAAACTGCAGGGAAGGCATTTTCTGAACCACTAGAGAAATGGTGGTAGGCTCTAATTCAACTCATCTTGGCCTTTGCTCTCTCAAGAAGTAGTTTTATTACAAGTCATTGCAAGTCATCTGAGATTTCTGCTTGCTGTTAATACTTTGAAAGTAATTTTGCTCAGTTATACAACAAAGTCTCAGCTCTTAAGGTCCCTTTTATTTTTCTATACCTTCAGCATCAAATACAGAGTTAACTTTGCCAAAGTGTACTGTCGCATAACCTCTGTTTTTTTCTTGTTATACAAGCAATTTTATTTTACTTTTTATATACCTTTTTCCCTTTATTAATAAAGACAAAGTTTTGCCAAAAGATTTTTCTTTATAGATTGTTAGCAGAGGAAGAAATGGAGAGCTTTTACAGCTCAGATGAATCCAAAATGTTTGACAAGTTTGTACCAAAACTTATCCAGCTAAACAAGTTCTCTTTCCTCAGATTTTCCTCCTAAGGCGGGTGGCCTTAGGGACCTTCAAAAAAAAAAAGTATATCTAAGACTGCCTGCTGTCAGGCCACATAGATATGCTTTTGTATAGCCACAGACTAACTCAGGGTGTAAAGGACCTCTGAAGGACATTTGAACCAGTCATCCCAACACACACATGGTCAAAATAAAGTTATACCCATTTGCTTAGGGCCATTTCCCATTAAGCTTTTCACCCTCATGGTAAGGATTTTTTTTCCTTGTATCCAACTGGAATATTCCTTGCTGTAATTTCCTCCAAGACTTCTCTTTCACCCATCACCTATATTTCACACATCTGTTGCCAAAGTGATAAGAGCAACAGTAATGATGGTGTTTTAAAGAACTGACCCCTGTTTTTCCTAAACTAAAAGAATGAGGATGAAAAAAAATTATTTTAATGTCTCTTTAATTAAAATTCAGTGCTTTAATCATATTCTTGGCCTGAAATTTAAATTTAACTTCTTTCATCTTTGAATTTTGATTTTAATTAGCACTCTTCTTTGGTGTTGGCCAGTTGCTCATGGCCATGATATAGACATTTGTGGAAACGGGAAAAGATTTTATTGCATCCTTCCATCCTTTACACCAGTCCTTTATGGTCTGGAACTGGCAAAGAATGGAAGACTTACAATCTCTACCACATGTTCACCTGCCAAAATGCATATATATCATGCATTTGCAGTGTGTTGTTTATGCTTTGCCAGGCACAGCTAATTAGCAGCCTTTGAGCTAGTTAAAGGCACATCCCCTAGCACCAGCTTGCTTCTATATGTCTACAGAGACAATGGGAATTTTAGCTTATTTCTGGACTGATCTCCATTTTATTAGATCAAGCCAAACTGTCTAGACTGTTCTGGGAAACAGACTTGATTTGTGATAGGACTCTTGCGAAGCTTGGGGTGAAACCAAACTGGCCGTATTCTTTAGCAACTGATTTCAGCATGAGTGTGTATAATTTTTTTTTTTAAATTGACATTCATATGCATGCATGGATACTCCATAAATTCACTTAAATAAAGGGATAGAGGAACATGAAATAGTCTATACGTCATGGAATGACTTAGAGATGATAGGTCCACTATGTAATTTTAGCCAATATATGCTTGAAAGCTGCATGCAGAGCAGCCAAATTTCTTTTGCTAATCATTTCAGTTTTGAGTGTAACCTTCAAGATTATTAACAACAAAATATATCTATGCCTTTTTTTTTAATCAAGAATTTGACATGGTCTGTATTGTAGAGCCAGTTAGAGATCAGTAAGTCCATCTGGATCTGTGTTGTCTGTTCCAGCAGATGATAATGCCAGGTAATTGCTTGCTCTCTGCAAGTGCTGCCGCAGACCATTTTGTCTCGTCACTGAAGTGTCTGTGAATTTTTTCAGGGAAAAAGGCTTTTTTTCAACTTTTCCTTGGAAAAAAAGAGAATGAAGTAAAGTAAGAAGGGAAGTGAGAAACTTTTCTTTCTTGTCTTCATTTAGATAACAGTTTTTCTTACTGGAAGTCTCTTTGACTCCATCCAATATGACTGAGGTAGTGCTGATAAGGGGGATCAATAACTGGATGAAAGAATGGGAAGGATGTGCACTATCTTCAGTCTGGGGAAAACAAAAATTAAATACTATTTATAACAAAGGGAATTTTGGTGTATCCTTGGCTATCAGAATGTTCAAGAAGCACTGACAAAGAATGAGATTACTGTGTTGCTTTCCTCAGACCAAAGTTTATTGGTAGGAATTGTATGCTAAAGTTAAAGAGAGACTTTGTTTATATTATACTTTGCTAATATATTTATAAGTAACTTATACCAAAAGGCAAATAATTTGTGCATGATATCTCAAAAGAGGTTTCTCTTGCTTCCATCATTTGGCTGGACTGATCCCTTCCAGTGTGAATGACTTGGATGAAATCAGTAGCATTCTGTGTGAGTTGGAGACGGGGAAAAAATCATAAATCCATGGCTTGGGTTCTGCCTGATGCAGCACTGTAGTCTAGATATGTACTGCGTAAGATTAAGTACAAGAAATGCACACCTGCTACCACAAAGGCTGTTTTGGACAGACTGAGGAAACAAGGCCCTTCATTTTATATATTTACCAGTAAAGCATCTTCTTACTGCTGATCTTTTCTAGCACCTGCAGTACTCCTTGTGTAATAACAACCTGTCAGGGTGGAGGGATTGTGAAGGGATTGTGCCCAGTGTCTCGGGAGACAGGTGTGTGCTCCTGGCCCTTCCTGGGACAAGGGCTGGGACAGGGCAGCCAGGGAGTGGAAGCATTCACCTAGCAGACTGTACTCGTGCAGTGAACTTTCCCTTCATGAATAAATCTGTTACTGCAAAAATGTTATTTCACGTAATATCTAACCAAAAGAAGACGCAGACTACGCTAATGATAAATTAGCAACTGTAGGAACACTTGGTGCTTTTCTTCCCTCTGCATCACAGGCAGCAGTCAAAACCATGAGCCAGATAGATTTTTCATTTCTAAGGAAGTTTGAATGAGGTTGTATTTGCTGCATCCCATGACTTTGGAATGCTCTTCTTTCTGGGTTTAGACACGTAACATTTAGAAAACGGAAAGCAAAGAATGCATAATTTAGCTTGCATGTCCAACAAAGGATGATCAGAAAGAGTGATTCAACTAACACCAAAATTGGAATTAAAAGACATAAATTTCCTTGGCAAGGAGTGTGACCTTCCTATCTCTGTGCTCTTGTGTGATTGTTATTCTGTACTATAAACAGGAACCATAGTAACGCATTCACCTGCCCTTATTTTATTACTGCCAGTTGTTTTAACTAAACAAGGAAACCACATAGTGCAAATTGTTATGGGTAACAAATACGGCGCAGCTGTACAGTTAATTTTAATGAAGCAAAAATAAAAAAAAATATTCTTGTTTTCTAGAGGAAAGGTGGAGTATAGTTAAAGGGGGCTATCGTCTGCCATCCTGATGGACCTGTTGGATGTTTACTGAAAGTCAACTTAATTCCATATGTTCATGCCAACATTATTGACACAAGACTGCATTGCTAAGGGAAGTAAATTCACACAAATTCCTAGTAGATCAGGTCAAAAAAGATCACAGCAATTACTTTTAAGTTTTGCCAGTTGCAGAAACATTCCTTATTTCAGAGAGATTTCTTATATAGGTATTTCCCAGCTGGTGGAAACCAAGCCCCAGACCTAATCAATGAAACCTCACCAGTCAATTCCACAATGAGCTTTTTAAACAACCCTTTGAAAGCAGAAGTGACTTGTAGGTTATTTTTGTCAATCTCCATAA